ATATAATGTAGAACAGAATTTTTCAAAATTATACGTCATTCAAAATAAAAAATGCCAGTGGGTACTGAGTATTTCTCCTTATTGGTTCCTATAACCAGGGGTGGGCAATTAATTTTTCCAAAAGGCCACATTAGAAATTGGGACTTCTTGTGGAAGGCCACTGTCACACACACACACACACACACACACACACACACACCACTACTGGGCAGACAGGGATAATCAAAGGGCCAGATGTGGCCTATGGACTGCAAAATGCCAGGTCTGCGATAAACAGTGGAATGAATCGACAAACGAAGGAATCTTTGTGGGTGCAGTTTTTATCTCATCTACCAACCATCCATTTATTTATTTGCTGAGGTTTTTTTTAAATTGTTAGATTCCAGAATCATTTTTGAGATGGGCACCCATATAAATTGATAGCACACTTTTCTTCCAAAAGATGGGAGTTTAGAAAAACAAAGGAAGCAGTGATGTGGGATGGGGAGAAGTTTCTATATCACCTACAGGTTTTGGATGAGTCCTTTACTTTTGGATCTTGAGTCCCGAACTGTTCTATGTGAATACAACCAGTCTGAAATACCAGATAATAGGAATATATTAACATACAGCCTCAGGTAAAATAATTTTGAAAACAACTATAATACTATAATGTACTGGCTGAGGAATTCTGGGAGTTGAAGTCCACAAGTCATAAAAGGGCCAGGTTTGAAGACCAGTTGTAGAGCGTGGAATGCTGCCATTACACTTGGAGGAGGGGTTGATATATTTATTACTTCGTTGGTTTATTGTTACTGTTTTTATATTTTTATTTTATGGTTGCTTTTAGTTTCAACAAGCAGTAACCTGCTCAAGGTCTTTTGAGTTGGGCAAACTATTAATACTGAGAATTTAGCCAAGCTGACATTGAAGTAAGGGTCACCTGCACAGAGAGGTTTATACCCACATAAATAAATACAGACCTGTGTTTGCTCACCTTGATGACATCTTATTGGGGTTACATGTAAGAAGTAGCTTGGGCTGAGGGGACCAAGGCCAGCAATAATCCTATTTCTAAATTGCAGCAAGCGAGAAAACATCTTGAGGCATATTATCCACATTTAACTTGCTTGAATTTTGTGGATCATTTTGTATTGACCAAAAATCAATACCGTACCCATTGATTCATCTTTATTAGTGTTTCTCAACACTGGCTACTTCAAGTTGCTAAAATTGAGAAACACTGATCTATATACCATGATACCGATTGCGGGGGTGACGATAGCCTTTTTCTTTGCCTCGCCTTAACTACAAAGTCAAATATGGCAGTCGCACAAAAAAACAACAACAAAAAAACCCCCCAAATCCTGACATATTTAAAATATGGCAAGAGATTTTCGTGGGCCATAAACCTTTCCGCGCCTCTCAGAAGGTCTTTATATCCCACGAACTCTAAATCCTTTCTCCGTAATCCGACGAGGCTGGTAGACTGCGCTGTTTCCTCGGCAATACTAGTCCCTTTCAAGTTCTGACACTCGGAAGCGAGACGCTCCCTTAGTTACCGATCGCCTCTTCTTTTTCCAACAGGACCAGAGGCGCCTCCTGCCCCCTCAGAAAACCCAGCTGGCCCCCAAGAGCTCCCACCGCTACTGCTGCAGAAGTTTTTTCCGCTCTTTCTCCTCATGGCAGAGGGGCGGCCAAAAGGACGCGCATGCGCCTTGGAAAAGAATGGGGGGTGTGGAGGAGAGGAACGGCAAGTGAAGAGACTAGGGGCGCTGCCGCCTCACAGCAGACCGCGCGAGTCCAAGAAGGGGGCTGGTTGAGGGAGCTCGTGAGATGCTGTAGAGCCGCCGCCGCCGCCGCCTTCGGTGCCAGAGGCGGAATGTCACGTCCCCCCCCCCGCCCCCCAGGAACTGACTTGAGTCCCTGGCTACCGGGCGGCTCTCCCATTGTTCCCATTCCGCGTCTCAGGCAGCGCAGGTCCACCGGTTCCTCCCTTTCCCGCTGAGGCGAAGGAGGGGAACATCTCTCTCTCCCCCCCCCGCCTCTCGGCCGCCTCCTCCCGGCTGCGGGCTGTCCCATTAAAGGCGGGGAAGGGTGGGAGGAGCCGGAGCAGCATGATGGCGGCGGCCGAGGCTGGCGGCGAAGAGGGGAGCTCGGGAGCGGCCGGAGACGCGGGGGGACACTGCCCACCCGCCGCCAACGCAGCCCCCCGCAGCGGCGGGAGCAGCAAGAGCGCGGCTGCGGTTCTTCTGGGAGGCTCCGGCCCGAACGCCTCTCCCGCCCCGGGCTCGCTCGCGGTGGGTTCCAGGCCTGCCCCTGCGGAGATGTCCAAGGGGCCGCTAGCGGCGACTCTACCGCTTTCCGAGAGCGGCGGCCCCGCCGTCAATACTGCCGGGGGCTTCCCTCCGCTGCCGCCGCCTCCGCAGCCGCCGCTTCCGGCCGGCGGACTGAGCACCGTGGATGAAGGCGACTCTCTCGACGGGCCCGAGTACGAAGAAGAGGAGGTGGCCATCCCACTGAACGCGCCCCCCACGAACCAGTGAGTATTCCCCCCCCCCTACGCCCCGTCCAGACTAAGGGTTTAGATGAGGTTCCTTCCCAAAAGTCTCGGTTTCTAACACCGCACCCAGTGGGCAGTGTGTTGTGTATGTCAAACTCTGAGCAAGTCCCGAAAGTTTCTTTGCGCCGCCTCTTTCTCTTCCCGCATCCCGTTGGAAGCTGCTTAGTCAACTGCCTGCTTGCCTGGAAAAACTGAAAACCTGAGAATTAAGTTTTTCCCCTGGCCCTTCACTTGAAAAGAATAAGAAGCACCGAGGCTCACGTTTGACAGTTTTCCTTCGCTTTTGCCTAAAGCTTCCCAAAGTGGTATTTTCCGAAAACGTAACCGTATTTTTAACAGTCCTCAATATTTTCATCCAAGGAATCCATGACTAAAGCCAAAAATGCTGTATGATACTTCCTTGTCTTTAGCTATAGAATTTTCTGCATATAAAGGTTGCTATGCTACCATGAAGTAACACATACTTTGTATGCAAAGCTTTTTCATAGAAGATGGTAAAATAAAATTTTTAGTAACATCCCTCTGAAATAACTAACATAAATAAATACAGCTTGTCACCTTTTGCATCTGGTAACCTGTCTCTGACATTCAAAATGTCACTTTCTGTTGAGTTTAGGCAGAAAAAGTTTTTTGAATAGATATTTCTGATGAATGAAAGAAATGATGTTATGTATTCTGATAATGGATTAACTTTGAAAGAGGCGGAGATGTTGATCCTGACATCAGAGCAGGTTCATGTGGGGACTGAGAAGCTTTAGGTACTTAACAACTGCAAAGCTTTAAACCAGCTTTCTGCAGTGTATTTAAAAACAGAATGGGAAGTAGTTTAGCTTTTCAAAGGAGGCAAAACATGCTTCATCTCATCCATTGCAGTTAGTGTATAATCCAATGACTTCTTATTTCCAAAGAGACTTCAGTCTTCCTTTTATGAGCAGGACATTGCACGAAACTAGATGAAAATTGTTCATCTATTAACAATTGAATTTATTGAAGTGGCACATAGTTGCTCTACAGCCTCTTTTGCTAAAATGAATTTTGAACCCTGAATAGTATTTCCAAGGTCAAAACTATTATGACATAAAGCAGAGATGTTTTATTTAGGTTGACCACAGCTGATGCCCTAATAAACCCAGCATAGATGCAAAATTGAAATGATTTAATGCCTTACTGGAAAATATGGATTTATTCAATTGTCTACTGTGGTTCTTCCCTGAAAAGGGAAAAATGTATTGATTGCAAATTATAACTATTTTGAATCCATTTATTGTGTTCTTCCAGTAGTAGCCTTATAATCATTTTTATAAAAATATTCCTGAGATTTCTCCTTGAAAAACTAAGGACAAATCTGCTGCATCCAAACATTTCAAGAGAAGCACTTACATTATGTTAAACTATGTTTACATTATGCATATAATACAACTTTACAAAAATGAGATAATTTCTGATATTTGAATAATGTCATTGCTAATTGCTGTGAAAATAGATTAAATGGACATTTAGGAGTAATGCCTTTATCTTTTATTGATTTAAAGCAATTATTTGATTATTGAGAGTTGGATGGCATACAAGAATTATTGAACTGGGCAGCATGGAAGTTTAATGGTAATCTGTCTACCCAACTACTCCATTGGATCAAAAGTTAACTATATGCTATTTTGTATACCATCAGTCAGTTTTGGTGAGATGAGCAACTATATAAATTGATTGATAAAAATATTTTTTTTGTATTTTAAATATGTGTGCAGCTGCTTTATTAACAGGATAAGTATAAAAGTATTAAGGTAGTATCTCTGGAGCTGTTAGATATGGCAGCTTCATAAAGGTGAACAGTATTTGGATCTGAAAAAGATATCTTAGCTCTGTACAGATTGTTCCTTAAAGGAACCAATCCATTTCCTGGACTTGCATGTTACTTGTGCAGGCATAGGAAAATACCTGTTAGAGTTAAGGGGGTGGTAATAGGATATAACACTTCTTTTTTACTTCCTTAACTGATGCCTGTTTGAGCTGCCAGTAGGTATAGAAAGTGCCCATGGTAGATCCAGATACTGTACACCTGCAGAGCTTTACTTCTTTGCAGCCATTGTGGGAGGTCTGCTCACAAAGTCTTTCTGCACTACAAGTCTGGCACTGTGATATGATAGTGCAAGAAATGAAATGTGGTAATTTAGGAAGGATTGGGCAATTGAAACTCATACGTTGCCTAGACAAATCCCTGAAATATTCTAGCCCTGGAAATTGCATGCTAATGAAAAAGGGGAAAATTGTGCGTCCCTCCCATCACCATCACCCAGTTGGTGTCAGTTGGAATTTAGATTTGGTGATCCTTCACAACAGATTTTTTCTCCTTTGCTTCCATTGCATAGCTCTGACTGCTATACAGATAGTCCTTGACTTACAACAGTTCATTTAGTGACCGCTCACTGAAAAAAATGACAATTTTTCACATTTATGACCATTGCAGCATCCCCATGGTCATGTGATCAGAATTCAGACGCTTGGCAACTGACTCATATTTATGAACTTTGTAGTGTCCTGGGATCATGTGATCACTTTTTTGCGACCTTCTGACAAGCAAAGTCAATGAGGAAGCCAGATTCACTGAACAACTGTGCTACTAACTTAATGACTGCAGTGATTCAGTTAACTGTGGCAAGAAAGGTTGTAAAATGGGGTAAAACTCACTTAACAAATGTCTCACTTAGCAACATAAATTTTGGGCTCAGTTGTGATCATAAGTCAAGAACTACCTGTAGCGTATACTTGGACATGTGAACTCAGTGGAGCTGGACTTTTAAGTCAACATATAGAATCACTATAAAATTATTAAACTGTTTGCAGAGAATTTTATTAATTATTGTACTTATGGTGTAATCTGAAAAATACAATTGAAGTAACATTTTGAAAAGAGCTGTTGTATATATCAACTTCAATGACACATTGTTCTGTGTAAACTTTTTATATGTTTTATTGCTTGCTTATGTGTAAAAGGATAAGATATAAATATCCCATAGAAAAGACAGGAAGTTAATGCAATTTTGAAATTAATATGAACATAAAAACAATAAATGAATACTGTCCACCATCTTTTTAAACTGAAAAGTTCTACGAAAATTACTAAAACATCTATGGAGTTGAATGCAAGTGCTTTTTTGGCAGGGCAAGATTTTATTATTGATAAGTAGAATTATAAATGGAATTAATTTGGATTTTATTTTTTAAAGGAGAAAAATTAAACACTTTTGTTAACATATTAGTAATTATTTATGCACACACCAATGTATAGAAAAAGATTCTTACTAACAAAATTTAATTGATCTTGCCTTAATAGTGTGAAATTTTAAAGGTATACTTTTCTTTTATAGATGTGATTCAGGATGACTTGTACAGATATTTAGTATGCTTTATGTTTAGAGCTGATACTACAACAGAGTATCTGTGGGAATTTGGGATATTACTTATTTAATTTATATCCTGCCTTTATTATTTTTGCAAATAGCTACAGATGAATATATACAACACACCTTCCTCCTATTTTCCTCACAACAACCACCCTGTAATAATATATTAATAAACTTCCTGAGAAAATTATTTCTATTTGGTAGAAGTAAGATATTAAGTCCTGTGTGTAAAAATATTTTAGAGGACTTCACAGTACAGTTGTAAGTACAGAAGATGATTTAAAATTGAAAGTTGTTTTTCAAAATGTGTATTTGAGATTTTATGATGCAAGTAAATTTGCAGTTTATACCCGGTATATGCTCTAACAACATACTGAAATATTGAGAACTATTCCAAGAATATTTTCTTTGGAAATATTAGTTTGATATGTTTTAATCTGGAAACTATAGGGAAGGTAAATAAATCTCAAGTTTAATTTTGATATAGTATTCATAATTGTGTTGAAATTAAAAAAATTTGTCACGTTTGTCACGTTTACATTATGAGAAATTTCAAGTAAATTTGTTTGTAAGTCTTTGGCTTACAAACCAATCATTTAGTGACTGTTCAAAGTTTCAACAACACTGAAAAAAGTGACTCATGACTGTTTCACATTCACAACTGTAGTAGCATCCCCGTGGTCACTTTATCAAAATTTGGACGCTTGGCAACTGAAATGTATTTATGTATTTATTCATCGTTTGTGACCCTCTGACAAGCAAAGTCAATGGGGGAGCCAGATTCACTTAATAACTGTGTAACTAAAATGCAGTGAATCACTTAACAACTGTGACAAGAAAATTGGGGCAAAACTCACTTAACAATTATCTTGCTTAGAATGGAAATTTTCCCTTGATTGTGATCATAAGTCACGGACTACCTGTACCTCTAAAGGAAAGTTTAAATCTTTTAAGATTGAAAAAATAGGCAATGATTATGTTATAATCATATATACATTATTAGTTTGATTGTGAGGCTCATGTGAGAAAAAAGTTACATTTCAGTAATATAATCTGTTACTGCAGATTTAAGTATTGTGACATTTAACTTTCTTGCTGGTTTGTAATTTTTCTATTATAATATCTAGATGCATAACTAGAACACCCATAAAAAGATAATGATTTCTTTCCCAACTGAATAATATATTTTTGCATTCTGCAGCAGTGTGTGGAACTGTGGGTTGAAATTCCATACGTATTTATATTGGAATAAGCACTTACAAACTCATTGGGAATGAATCAAAGGCTAAAGGGACATGGACAATATACATGAGAATGTTTTATTTTATTTTGATCACCATATGACTGCTGCAAGGTATTACCTTTGAAGACAGCTTAGAGGCTGCTATTGATGCAGAACAGAACAGCCAGATGACTCTTATGGGAAATCCATTATTCATTTATTTACTTTATCTATATACCACCTATTCTTGAAAGTTCTGAGTAGCTAGCAATCAAAAACACCACTATCAACCTTTTACAAAATAATAAATAAATCCACCGATAAAATAACCACAGTTATCAAAATATTACAAAAAGAATATACAGTACAATATACATAAGTGTCTGCTAAATTCAGATCTTGAATCACAGCACACCCTTTTCCTTAGCTTGATGGAATAACCATATCTTAACTGCTGTCCGCAGATATAAGGAGAAGATTGGATCTCCATAGATTCCAGAGAATGCAAGTGACCAAAA